TAGAACTAAAAGCAATTATTCATGAGTACATAAAGCTATTACATACGGTGTCAACAACGAATGCAAGATATGCGGAATGTATGAATAAAATATTTGTAATACATACAATTCAACTGACAATACATAGTATTGAATGCACAATACAAGCTAGACAATCCTGACATTCACACTATTTCTACAAAATATGAGACATACCAGTTCTTTAACAAATTAAAAACAGTCTGATCGGATATATAAGAGTCTTTCATGACGATGTCTCAATATTTTTACATACGGAATGTTATATTCTTACTATATTCGATGACCTGCACTAATATATGAAAAAACGTCCTGCAGGAGGCAGTGCTTTCAAAATGTGTATCGCAATATTCTTTTGCTATAAAGATTTGATCGATTTCTGCCACGTCAGATACTCTTTGATTCATATAATTCTAATTAAGTGTTACTTTCAAGATTGACAAACATTTCGGATTATTAATTATAACTATATCGTTTGTATTATTTTAAATAAGCCAATGCTATGACAAAAATTCTCTTTCTAATTCAGAAATACTTGGTTTCCTACTTCTATTTAACCGACGATTAGCTTGCAAAGGTATAGTGACGTCCTGGCTTTGCCCGTGTACCGGGATATCAAGTAAAGTTTCTCTATGTTCTCGCGATATTCCATCCCGATCGAAGGTCACTGGAGAAAACCGCACCCTACTAATAGAAATTTGACTATCTTTAGCCGAAACATAGCTCGAGTCCTCGGATGTCAAAGAATCCGGAGGCGTAGGATTTGTGGGTGTGCCTGAACCCGAGTTGTTTTTGCTAACGCTTTTATTCGGCGAATTGTACGAATAATTAGATCGTTTCAAACTTGATCGTAATCGGCTAACAACTTCTAAATTACTCGGTCGTTCACCCGAGTTTGAATTTGAATCATGCGAGTTCTGACGTGTTAATATTTGCGAACCATATTCGTGATTAAGCATACTAGGACTATACGTTCCTACGTTTGAGATGACGTTCGAAGGTCGTTGATAATAATGTCCAGGATAATACAAAGAATAATCGTCTTCATCTTCTAAACGAAACGTTGGATTAACGTTACTTTGACTCGACGTGCTCGCATTTGAAACATTTGACGAAGTACGATGATGAGTATATGGAGGAAGTCTTGATACAGGCCGAGCTGGACTATTTATACTGCTCGGATTGTCATAAGCATGTGGAAATTCAGGGCACTCAAGCATTCTATCACTGGAGGAAAAGATTTATGTGAGCATGATATTTGAAAATTTATCTCGATACTGTTGCAAATACTTACTGGTAATCTGTATGTACAAAATACGTTGGTTCTTGTTGCCTGTGATATTCTGGTGGAACAACTGTGTACACTGGAGGTCCATAGTCTGGAAAGGGAGCAACATTACCCATGTATATCGTTGGTACTCTTTCCATGCGGTCTACTCTTCCTGCATCGTGTGTAAATACATCTTCATTACTAGTGCTGCTGCTCTTTCTTCTGGGACTTGGTGTTGGCGCGTTAGAACCCGCTGTACTGCTCGCATAGTGTTGAGGCGAATCCGTGAATCTCAAAGGTTTATCAGGCATCACGCTGGGTGGAAGACCTGGTGCTATGCCACCCATGTTACTTAAGAATGGCCTGTAGTAATAGTAAGAATTATCTCACTTTTCATTGAAATGTTTCAAAAATATTCAATATGAAAAGAAATAGATGCAATCCTTTACCTGTAATGCCTAGCTGGTCCATGGTATGTGTTATGGGGATAACCACTACTTGAACTAAACTCGTAATCAGGACCAAGATAACTAGAATTACGATTCGATCCAGTATCTGCTTGAAACCACCATCTTGAAGGTTCATCTTCACTGTCACCGAGCCGAGGATACAATCTTGGATGGATCGGAGATATGTTTGACATTCTTACATCATATCCAGTTGCTACTCCAGCTAGCATTGCTGCGATATTATACAACACCAGTTCTATTATGCTTAACTTTGGCTTTTTCATTTCTCCATTATAGAGAGTCGGCATTGGAACAGGCATTGGCATGATGTAAGGTCCAGTTAATCCAGGTTTCAGTGGATAATCTGATGTTACCCAGTCAGATGAAAGATCAGGCGCTACAGCTGTATAATCTACAAAAACAATCAAATTTCTACAATAATAATGGTCATATTGGTACATATTTAAAAAAAAGCGTAGACATAAAATATCATTAATACTTCTACTTTCCTTTTTACAATATTAAATCGTTTCAATTTTTTCTTTTTCTCTTGCTAGTATTTTCTTTAGTCTTAATTATTGCTATTATTTAGAATTAAATTTGTTTACTTCTTACCTTTAGAAATTTTCAGAAATTTTTTTTATAAATGTTATATAAATTTATTATATTAATTTTCTAATCAACTAGTTTAGTATTGTAGTTGTACCATGCTTACATGTTATTGAATTACTTACAATTGTTTGTGTGTTCAAGCACAATGTGATACGTGCATTGTATTAAAACATTACATGCTGCATTCTTATTTTAACTATTTGTTACTACCAATAAATTGTATGAAGCTTATACATTATTTTTGTAAAAGACAATTACATAAGCTCAAAAGTCATATCTTAAACATGAACCATACTTGTTGGAAAATATTGGATCTCTGAAACTGAAGCAGAGTGTAAAAGAAAGGTACAAAATACTTGTGAAAGATGGTAAACATTTACTATATTTAACTAATATGAAACAATATTTTTTGCTTCACTTGATCTCTTATTTTCTCAATTTTAAAAGTCTTAACTTTGTTCACTCATTCATTCAATAAAAGCAACAAATCAAATTTACATTTTCATTCCCTGTTTCATAATAATTTACATTTCATGTTTCATATCAAAATTAGAATAAATAGGAATATAAAAACAAAACTAACGGAGTATTTGTTTAGAAATGAGATTGGAAATTTAAGGTAAGAAAAGGACCAAACCCATTTGACATTAACAGTTAGGATCCTACTGGAAGCATGCAGAAGGATTCTCTTACGCTCGGCTATTGGCAAAAACGAATGTAAAAATTTAAATATATAAAAAGCAGACAGAAAGAATTCTATTACTTTTTGTTTTATTTTTATAGTTAGTATAGTAATTGAATCAAGTATACAAAACTTAGTTGTTTTACAAAACATTTAGTATGTATATTTCTTTAAATGTACACAATTGAAATCATTTACAAAAAAAAACATATTATATTCATTTCAAAGTTGTCAAATGCTACTGAGTTACCACAAACCGAGCGTAAAAATTTAGAAAACGAAAAAACAAAATTCAATGCGTCGAACTGAAAAGGTTTTATTGAAAAAATTTCTATTTCTAAATACAAGTGTGTGTGTCGCTCCATTGTGTTGAATGTGATGTGTGCAAAATTTCTGAATCTAAAAAGTGTAGAGAGACTATGGTAATACAAAAATGAAATCGCTGTTAAATTGGGCTGAACAATTGACACAAATCAAAAATTGATTCAAAATGCATCTGAGACAACAAAGAGAACAATACAACTCTACTCACACAATGTTCTATATAATTTTGATTTTTTAAGTCACAAAATTACAACTGTAGTGAAAAAATACACGTTTTCAGTAAATGCTCCTTATTTAAAGCATCAATTTTCAACTAGATTTTTGTTGTAATGGCAGAAGCATATGATTTCTTTTCACATAGTAGTGGGCTGTTAGCTCTGCTTTGTTAGAATGTTATGTACTCCAAACAACATCAGAAAAGAACCAACACCAGAAAGACTGCATTTACATT